AAAAAAAACCCAAACCAAACAAAAAAATCCCCCAACAAAACAACAAAAAACCCCACAAAGAAGCAAACTGAGCTAAGGTCCCAGCACTACTGATACCCTTCCTGGCTGGAATACAGTAAGTCCAAGTGTTGAGCTGATCATATGACTGTATCTTAGACTTTTAAATGTGACATAACTTCTGCCAAATGCTTGCACGAGTGCAGATGTTCCTATTTTTGTGCTTATATCTTTCTTTAGTGTGTCTTCTTTTCCTTTTCCTATTCAATGTACTTCCTTTATTCAATACTCTGCAAGTGCTTTAATCTAGCTACAAAGGTTTTATTCTGGACTATGGTATGTCTAATAATTAAGAGTAAATTAGTGTCTTACAGACAGCAACCAAAATACAGGAGCATCTCCATTCCTTTGCCATTCTGTGAGCTAAGTTATCCATTATCTCTCTTCTTATGATAACCATAATCACCATTCTTATCATTCAAACCTAATTAAGTAGACCTATTTGCTGGGAAGCATCAGGTAAAATTACATGGAACTACAGAAACATTTAACCATGCCACATTGAAAAATAAACTCTGAAATTTACTTTTCGAAATGTTACTAAAACCAAGCCCTGCACACACGTAAAAAGATATTTTTATCTCTGTTTCTAATGTTGGGATTTTAAAAGAATCTTAGCAGCACATTATGTCTAATTCTCACTGAGTTTCATGTCATAACTGATAACAGAACGAGTTAATTATTAATCACTCCTGTATTTTATAGCATTCAAATGTATTACTTGATCTCTCATGAGAAATTGGAATTGAAGTAGTTTATATTTGCTATCTACATTTCAAAAGACCCTTTATTCCCTCTTAGACCTTGATAGCTTTTTACAACCTCTCAGCCTTGATATATTGTATAAAAGAGCTGTATGCCTGAAATAGCATGTTTAAACTTGAGACCAAGCCTTTTTTGTCAATATTGTTTTGATAAATCTCAGCTGAAGGTTCTTTAAGCACAAGCAGAATACAGTGCCAAATTCAGCACTCAGTAGCACAAGCATAAAATGTGCTTTATTCCTCTGAAGTGAGAATCCATTCCAATGCATCACAGTGAACATTTTTACATGCTCTTAAAACCAGAAGGTACTTCATCTCCCTCATCCTCCATTATTCTGAGCTTGTTTTTACTCAAGTACCAGATATGAACATATGCAAACCTCAATAGTTTGGAAGCAAATAAACTGCACCACCAGTGCAAATATAAACATTCTTTGTTGAACTATGCAGTTTAAGAACATACAGAAACAAAAAGACATTAAAGATTAGTAATAAAATAATTGCAAATTTTAAGTTGGGTTTGTTACAACAAATTACTTCTTTTATATATCAGTTGGCAAGGTGTTTTAGAAATACAGCAGGATCTGATTATTGTACATGTTTTCTGGCCATAAGGTGATAAATACAGCTGCCACCCACGTGTATTAAAACAGATATAAAACAATCTTTAATCAGCTTTCTTTTAACATGTATTTTCTTTCAATTTTTGTTAAAAAGTGGTGAGCTAGGACTTAAGAACCATAATACAATGATCTTTCACCAACAGACTAGACATTTGCATGATATGCACAGACAAGAAGGTTTTTTGTAATATTTTCTAAGTAGACAATTCTTAATCAAAGAGAAGCTTTGTCTTATAACCAGGCTACTTTATTATTCCTCACCTTAAAAAAAATTACATTTATTATCAGAAAGATCAGAATGACCTTTTGTTATAACATAACTATGTAAGTTTAGCTTTGCTTGCTTAAACTAAGGACTTAGCTTTGCTCTTGTATATATTATAGTTCCTACTATTATCAACGGAGGTTATAGTATCATAGGTAAATGCTCAGCTTTTCTCAAAGTTTCAGCACATTATTCAAAATTCCCATGGGACATGAGCAAGCGAGGTGAAGATTATGAAGAGGAATAAGACTAAATCAGAGTTGTACTTAAGGCCCAGTACAGTATACAGCAGGTAAAAAAAAAAGCCATCGACTTTTCGTCTGCACTCTTAGCTACAAATGACTTAACATAGACATAACGTACTAAATAATAGTGCATCAATGATGCATTGTGTCAGGGAGACACGCGCTTCTTCTGCAGCACTTGGAAGAAAAAGCATCTCTACAGCTCTACTGAGACCTACCTTAAATGCAGGGTTACAAATCACTTTCACACATTTATATTTCCACTGCTAATAAGTTGGGAAAAAAAAAATCCAGAATAAAGCTAAGGATCTTGATCAATCAGGCTTTCTAACAAACAAGTCGAACAGCAGCACAGAAAAGGAGACAAGCTGTAAATAGTACTTATGCTGGAGACCTCAGGGCATCAAAACACTACAGAAGGTATTGCAAATTTGTGTTGATATGCCTGTTCTCTGCATGAGCACAAAAAGGCAGATCCCAAAAGAGGCAAAGTGTAACATACACAGGGTGTTAATATTGACTTTGGAAGGCTGAATGGAAGAAAACAAAGTTCTCTTACTCTCTCTGCAGTCAGTATCATTATCCCTGAAAAAAGTACACTGCTACATGACGCTGTGTACTAAAATTTCAAAAAATCAGCTTCTAAGGAAGCTCATTGTTTACTTTTTTATTAATTTTGATTTCTATCCCAAATCACCCATAAAATACTAACTGTAAGACACTCCCCACAAAAAACAAGAGGTCCAAGACTACTTCATGCTCCATCCTGAGAGTCTGCAGTCCCAGTTCTAACTCTTCTGTAGAGTGAATTACTATTTGAAACACAAATTATAGAAGTTTTACTGGCAGTTGTTTTCACCGCCTTTCATGAGAAAATGAAGTGCTCCCATTTGATTGCTATAATCCAATACTCAGATTAAACCAAAATAATCCTAAACTGAACATATAGATACCCAAAGAGGTATTAAAATATCATCTGAAAATACTACATACAGAATTTCATTTTTGCTGTCTACAGCTTATAACCAGATATGTATAAATGGGCAAGTAATTAGAGAAGTTGGTAGCATATGCTAATCTCTGTTGAAAAAGAGACAGATATAATTTTTACTTTAGCTACAGTCAATAGAATATATTTTAAAATAAGCATGCCACAATTTATCAGTGATCAAGTCTGTGGGGTATCTAAGCTTCAAACCTATGTGTGCCTAATTTTACACAGTAATTTAATTACGCATTTACAACAGGCACAAATCCAAACCAGTGAAGACAACAGACTTTAGATTAGGTTTCCACTTTGAAAGACCCATTATGTTTATTTAGCTAATATTTTTAAACTCTTACTTCACCTGTAAGTATGCCAGCGTATTACAGATTTATACGCAATTAAATGACTCATTTATGAAGTCACAGAAGAAAGCTGTGCTCTCAGTCAGCTGAGCAGAGTAACTACAGCATTTACATTACATTGACTGTTTAATTAGAAACTTTTCAGTTACTCATTTACTGATGGCACCTATTTATTTTTCTTCTCTTTTTTCCTTGGGTGGGAGTTAACGGCAGAGAATCATACAGAGGGGCATAGTTGCTATGAATTTACTGTGCAAAAGTAAATATACTGGCGTTAATAAAATACGGAAATAGACAAGTTTTGCAATAATTACTAAAAGAACAGTTATTGGGTGTATATTTAAATAAAAAATTAAGTATGTTCTTATTTTTAAGAATAGACAGCTAGCAGAATCTGCATATATAATGAACTGGGAAACTCAATTTGATACTGCTGTTTGCATATTAATGTGAAACTACATGCACTTATAAGTGTAACTCAGTTTTACTACACATTTGGGGTAGAAAGTTGTGATTAGAATATGCACATTTTCTTAAGTCCAAGTTCGTAGGCACATTCACTTTTTGATGCACAATCAACTTGCATTAATATGAGTTATTGCCATTATGAGAAAAATAAATACATTCTATAAATATTTATTTATTTTGGTTGGAATCCAAAACCAGAATACCAAGAAGGGGGTCAGTCTTCAAATATTAAAAGACTGCTTCAAAAAAGGAAAAGAACAATCCTTTCTCCAGATCCATGACAGAGGAGATGGAAAGTAATCGGTTTCAATTGTGCCAAAAATTATTTGGGATTGACATCAGGAAAAATTTCCCAGTCTTTTCACACTGGGAAAGACATCCTGTATAAGTTACAAAATCTATCTCAGTACACGTTTGGGTTTGGTTTTGGGTTTTTTGTTGTTTGTTTTTTTTTTAAAAAAAAAAACAGGTTAAGCAAGTATCTGTCAGGAAAACCTAAGACTGTTGATTCTATGTTAGGGCAAAAATACGGAATACACAATGTCTTAACATCCCTAGTAGCCCTGCTTTTCTATGACTGAAAAATATCCCCTGAAACCATTTGTTTTGAGTGAAACCGATCTGCAAAGACATTATACCTGTATCCCTGCTTAACTTTATCTGACAGTGTAAAAATATTGCACTTCAGACAGGTTCATTTTGTTCCCAAAATGAAATTAAATCAAAGATGATAATTTTTTTCCCTCTGGAACACAAATTTCATAATATGGTATGCCAAATGTGGGTAAAGGTTATCTGCAGACATTGTATTTTTGTTCCAGAGGCAAAAAGGTCTCAAGTGTACTGCAGAAAATCAAACCTTCACAAAATGCAGAAGTTATCACCAGTTCCACTGCATAACCCGCATCTGGTTTCATATAAAAAAATAAAGTGTTTGCATTAAACTTTATTGCACTATCAACAATTTTTTTTTTAAAATATCCCCCATTCAAGTCAAATATTAAATTATTTTTATCAAACAAAATATAAGGTCTTCTTTAAAGTATCAAGTAGATATAGTATATGCGCTATACAGAAAAAGAACAGTCTAAAAGGAATGGCATACATCAAACCAGAGATGACAGAAAACAATCATCGGGTTGTTTCTTTTCCATGATTAAAAAAAGATTGCAGAAAGATTGTGTAGGCTATTGTATGCATTGTACGCATGAAAAGCATCCCTCTTCACTCAAGGTGTTGAAGCAGGCGACACCTTCAAGCTGTCAAGTGCTGCATGAATTCTGAAGTGCAACCTGGACTCCATAGAGTATTCTTTGTAGTTGTTTCTGCAAACAATAAAGTTATTTTAAGAAAAACATTTTTGGCCTGGATTGTTTCTTTTCTAGACATGCACTGAAGTACCAAAGTTAACAGCCTTAATTTCTTCAACAAGAAACAGATATGGATGAGTTCTAAGACATTTAAAGCTACCTCCACAAACTGAGCAGAGACTTACACCAGTACTAACAACTCAATGTACCGATAAACTGAATCCATGTCTTAGCATCTCTTTCAGTTATTTTGATCCTTTCAACAGCCCTTCCAATTACTGAAATTTGCTGTGAAAAGACAAGCTAGAAGACTACAGGAAAAAAAAGACTGTTAGCTGAAAGCGTGTGTTCAGCTTCAAAACACAACTCAGTAATAAAACACAGGGAAATCACACTATGCAATTAAAAAAGGCAAAAAACTAATGTTTCTAAAAAAAGGCTTTAGGAAATTGTTTCTAACTCACACTTACAACACGCATGATTGGTATACTTCGCTGTACTCACAATGGGCAAATTCTGCCCCATACTACAATCTACAGACGAAATGAACATGCAGTCCTACAGCAAATTTAGCTCTCTACTGCTCTTCTGTGACAGGATGTGAAAGGAAAAAGGGAGGTGGTCAGAAGTGTCCTGGATTTTAACCTACTCCCACGAACACCTTTACTGCAGCAGATATAAGCCCCCCGGGTGCTCTCTGGGACAGAGGTGGTATAGATCCTTTCTCTGGACTCTCCAGCTCCATCTCATGCATACAGTGGAGCTTCAGCACCTCTGAAGCCTAAATGAAAAGGAGACATTTCCCCTTCATATTCTGTCTGGTTTGATATTGTCTACATTGCTATGTCTGAAGTCAGTCTTGAAACTGTAAAATGCAACTATATTAGACAACTTTTCCAAGTCAAGAACACAGATTTATAATTACTTGTATTATGCAAAGGTTCTGGCAGCAAGAAAACACACATACATGCCTTCATTGCTAAAGTTACTCAGTTATTCTTAATCTACAGGCTGACACAAATAAAAAAAAAAATCCACTCACTTTGCAGTTTCTATGTATCTTATTGCTTTTTCTCTCTCATCCTGTTGTTTGTACAAAAGACCCAACTCATACAGGGTGAACGGCACCAAATAACTATCATATTTGATTTGCTTCTCACTAGAAAACCAGAAAAATGCAAAAGTGGTTAATTACAACTTTCCTCGAGTGACCAGTTAACTTTTAAATGCAATCATGTCTGTAAGAGCACATGGACAGAGAAAACACTCTGAAACCTTTTTACTGGTTAAATTTGTGCGCATTAATTATACCTGTAAACAGTGGACATAAAATACTTTCAACATGACCGTCTAAAAGCAAAAATGTATTCTTTCATACTTCCTATTTGTATTGTGGTATGTTACCCAAGATACCATGAACACAATTCTAAGACTGGGACCCTATTGTGTGACTTAGAGTTCAAAAAAAGCCAACCATACAAGAAGATAACTTGAGACGAAAACAACGTTCATTAGGTTAGGCAGAATAATACAGATACTTCTTTCCCACTCACAGAATTGAGATCCCTTCATCCTAGCTTGCCTGAACAAAGCAGCAGCAAAGTAAGAAAAATTCAACTTTTCCTCAATACAAGAAATTCTCAGAATCACTGTGGCTGGAAGGCACCTCTGGAGATCATCTAGTCCAATCCCCCACTCAAAGCAAGGTCAATGGCAGCAACCTGTCACAGACTGTGTCCACCTAGGTTTCAAATATCTCCAAGGATGAAGACTCCACAGCCTCTCTGGGCAACTCGTGCCAGCATTTGACCAACTTGACAAATAAAAAAAAAAATTCTCCTTATGTTTAAACAGTATTGTGCTCATTGCTTCTGGTTCTGTCACCGGGCACCACTGAGAAGAGATTGGCTCCTTTTTTTTATTTAAAAAAACAAAACAAAACAAAACACATTCCCTTGAAGAAACCTCTTCAGGTCTTCTCTTCTCCAGGCTGAACACACCCAGCTCTCTCAGCTTCATCTCACATGATAGATGCTTCAATCATTTAATCATCTTTGTCACCCTTTGTCAGACTTGCTTCAGTATGTCCATGTCTCCGTTGTACCAGTGAGTCCAGGACTAGACACAGTACTCTAGATGTGGCCTCTCCAGTGCTGAGAGGGGAGGAAGGATCACCGCCCTTGCCTTGTTGATGATGCTCTTCCTAGTGCAACTCAGGACAATGTTGGCCACCTTTGTTGCAAAAGCACCTTGCTGGCTCATGGTCAATTGGGGTTGGGGTTGATTCTGTCCCATCATCAACTTGGGGACAACCATGATACCCAGGGCATTTTCTGACAAGCTGCTCTCCAGCCAGTCAGCCTCCAGCCTGTGCTAGTGCATGGGGTTATTCCTTCCAGGGGTAGGGACTGGCACTTCTCTTTGTTGAGCTTCACGAGGTTGCTGTCCGCCCATTTCTCCAGCCTGTCCAGGTTGCTCTGAATGGCAGCACATCCATCTGGCCTATCAGCTACTCCTCCCACTTTCTATCTTCTGCACATTTGCTGAGGTTGCATTCTGTCCCATCATCCAGGTCCTTAATGAAGATGTTAAAAACTATTGACCTCAGCATCATTCTACTGGTGACTAGCATCCAGCTGACTTCATGCTGCTGATCAGTCTTCCGAATCCAGCAGTTCAGCCAGTTTTCAAATCAACCTCACTGCCCACTTCCAGTTGAGACTTCATCAGTTTGTCTGTGATGATACCACAGGAGACACTGTCAAAAACCTTTCTAAACTCAAGGTAAAGAACTGCTGTCCCCTCATCTGCTGAGCCAGTCATCTCATTGTAGAAGACTATAAGGGTGGTTAAGCATGATTTCCCCTTCATAAATCCATGCTGACTACTCCTGATCACCTTTAAGCATTTGGAAATGGTTTCCAGAATTATTTACTCCACCTTCCCCGGGACTGATGAGAAACTGACTGGCCTGCAGTTCTCCAGATCTCCCTCCCTGAAAATATGAGTGACATTTGCTTTCTTCCAGTCCTCAGGAACTTCCCCTAACTACCACGACCTTTCAAAGATAGTGGAACGTTACAATGACATTGGCTAGCTCCCTCAGCACGCATGCGTTTATATGCCAGCCTCCCATGTACTTAAGTATGTTGAGTTGCCACAGACACATGTGTGCCTAGTCTGTTCACACTTTTCCTAACTTGACCCTCCTCCATCAAGAATAACTCTTGCATGTTCCAGACTTCCCCACAGGCTTCATGGATCTGGAATTCCTGAAGGCTGATCTTGCCACTACAGAACGAGGTGAAGAAGGCATCTCGTATCTTGGCATTTCTTGTGTTTTTTATAATCAACTCTGTGATTCTTAGCTGGATAGAATAACATCAACCAATATTGCAGAATGAGAAAGTTCGCAACAAGCACTGCAAAAGCTTTTGCCATTTTGAGAGCAACACTTCTGAAGATGCACCTCTTCCACCAAGACAAGGTGTGATGCACAGAAGTGTCTCTTAAAGCAGGGAGACTGCTTATGTCATCCACAGTCTTAATGTACTGTAGCAGATCAAGCAATGTAAAGAGTAAAGCTGACCAGAATGTCAGTATTTAATTTACCAGAGAACCCCTCCCCATGAGAAACACCCGCTTTAAGAAGTGTTGTCTGAAGACTTTTTTGAGATGTCTCAGCTCTAAAAGCCTCCACTGTGCCAACTACATTTGGAGCAAGGTTTTCAGAAACAGCATTCTTTTAAATTGTAACCAATGAAAGGCCACTGGCCTGTAACTTGCAAAGTGCTTGACTAAACTCACTTGGGATCTTAGAAATGGCAAGAGAAGGCAAGATGGCAAGAAAATTATAACAAGCAATAGAATTATGTGTAACAAATTCTCCTTAAATATTAGCTTTTACAAATTATTTATTAGAAAAATTACATACGTAAAAACTGCTTTTTCACCATAATTCCTCTAAAAATTCTAAAAAGTTTACAACTGCAATCAGTACATGACTCAATGTCATATAAAGAAAAGTTATTACAGTGGATATGGCGATCTGACACCTAAAGTATTTGACCAATCCATAATACAGGAAACTCAAGTTTTCAACTGAAACAAGTAACAACAACAATTTTTCATCTACAAAGAGAATCATTAACTACTGAAGAACTAAATCCTGAAAAAAACCCACGAAACAGGAAATCCATGTGAATTATGTTTATTGATAGTTCTGCAAATCCAAAAATACTAACTCCAAATGGATTTGATAAATGCGTTACCCATCAGTTTGATTTATTTGGTCTAAAACATCACATTTATAAAAAGCTATATAATGTTCATTTGCTATAGAAAAATACCAGCTAAGTTTTGTAGTTCTCCAACTACTTTCTGAGGTATTTTAGTTCCAGCTCCTTAACAGGCTATTGAAGTTTAATTGCTCAAAATTCTAACACGACAGCTTCTACAGGCGTATCAGAAATTTCACACAAAGCTACAAAATACAAAGGTAGAAAGTCTGTTTATGTTATTCTTACCTTTGAATTACTTTACTGAAACACAGTTCAGCTTGCATGAGTCTTCCCAAATGTTTCAGGCAGAGGCCTTTCAGTAACTGCAACATGCACACATCATCCATATAGTATTCATTGCGATCTAAAAGTAAAAGCGAGATACATCAAACAATTTGAAGATACCATGAAAAGGAAAATTAGATATTCAGTAGTGAATATGTATTCAGACTCAGGACTTTGCTTCTCAGATTTTATACCTCAAAATATACATAACATTCGGGAGCAACATTAAATATTGCCTACTAAAGAAGATGTGTGCATAACATCTATATCTTTCTCTTTAAAGATACTGGCTAAGAAGAAATTGAAACATCCACATATTCCCCAGTCTTCTTTATCTGGAAGTCAGTACAAAGCAGGCATAAACTGGCAGCAGTTAGAGATTTCTGTGCTTGTAACATCTAAAACAGGAACCAAAACCTACAGTGAGACTGAAACCTCCTTCACACTACATTATCTAATTAGCTTCCCCTGTTGCAGAGCACTGGCAGACCTCCAATAGCACCAGTAATATGAAAAGCACAGGAACACACTAGGACTCTGTCCCACAGAAGTTTTTGGAAGCATTATTTGGCAGTACAAATTTAAGAAAACAAGTTTATTAGCATTCCCATCATCTCTAACAACGATTAGGAAGCTTCACTAGTAGTGTATAATGTTTGGAAAATTCAAGAAAGGTTTATTTTCAAAAGGAGTAAAAATATCAGATGAAAGAGCTTTTGTGAAAAGATTCAGAAATATAACCTTAGCAAGTGTGGTCCTCTCTTGCTGCCTCAGTTTATAGCATTTGCTGGGTGCAGGGAAGGAAAAGAAAGGAAAGAAAACACATACGGATAGACAGATGGCAGCACATACATTAACAATTCAGGAAGCAAAACACTCGCCCTTCAGATCATGTTGTTTACAACTGTTTACCAGCTCTCTAAGGTCACGTTAATTTTTTTCTTAATAGTCTGCCAAAAAAATCCCACGTAAACAGTTCTGAAACATGCAAGACTGAAGCATCTTGGGATCCGGTGAAGTGCTTTGCCACTACATTCTGGCTTATTTCTGTCTGTGTTTAAACGCAGAGAGTCTTGATAGATCATAACTGACAGACTGCGCTTTTAGTGACAGGTAGAAGCGCAGCGAGTATTTTGCATTCCCTCTAGCCTGTTTTGCTAGGCTACAGTATCGGATTCATGTGACTGTCTCCTAAAGGACTCACTCATTGAAATTACTGGGGGCAAGCACTGATGTCAGTAAAAGCTTGCCAGTCTTTAACAACTTCACCTAGTATCTCCCTGGTACTTCCCACAGGAAGAAAAGCTATTATGCCAAAACACTGACAGTAAATGACAGTAAATGCACAAGCCAATTTAATAGAGGCAACCTTGCAATAAATGTGGGAGAACCATCTTGCTACAGTCCTCTATGCTAGAGGAAATATCATTATCAGGATTATACAACACACAAAAAAAATAATTTTTCTCTTGAAGTTACAAATTCCTTTTTTGTATCTTGGAGATGACACAACTGTGGAAAAATAAGATTTCCAGAAATCATGAGAAAAAAAAAATAATTCTAATGCCTTTCATCTGTTCCTTCTACCATCCCTATTTTCAGCTCTGTACAACATAAAACCACTTTCAATCCTTGACAGATTCCTCGCTGTGCCTGTTCACTTGAAGCAAATGAAGTATCAACAGCTCTCTCTAAGAGGTCTCAATCCCTAAATAACCTTTGCGTATAATTAACACCCTTTTTTACAGCACCTTAGCAGTCCTTTAAAGCTATCTAGTACTGACAGCTATCTCTTAAAGTAATATTGTATCCTTGCCACGCTCTGCTAATAGCCTTAATCACTTTCTTTGGGTCTCAATTCAGCAGCAATTCTGGTAATCAGAGTCTTTACCTTGTCTGAGTCGGTATCTTTAAAGGCAAATCAGCAAATCAGTTCAGAATAAAACTACATTTGACTGCAGTTACTACTAAAAAGATACAGAAAGGATAAAAACTAAGCATGCTTCCAGATTACATCCTATTTCTAAACTGCATATTTCCATATGCAAAACATACCGGTTTTACTTCTGTTCCTTTTATTTTGGTACCTTCTGCATCTTTGCTTAGGAATTTGACAGGGAATTTACTTCACTGTTACAACCGATGAGCACTTATAGTACAAACCTCTGCACAATACAGCATTGGATTCCCAACAGCTTCTGCGAGAACCCTCCACACAGAACTCATGGGAACATGACTTTATTTGCATATGTCTTGCATACTGCTACCGTTTGGTTTTAATATGACAATAAACAAAGGAAAACCATGAGATTCAAGAGGCACACTACCGATTCTGCAGAAATGTGAATAGAGTAAAAAAATTAAGGGACCCAATTCAGTCTTGGCCTTGCAGTTACTCTCATTTAGCTTATTATACCATCCAGATTTTACCAGTATGCATTTCTTGTATGTTCTTGTATAACTTCTGAAGCATCAATTCAGTTTTTAAGTCGTAAAAGTACATCTAATTATATTTCACAACTAATATTTTAATAATTTAGCAAAACTACCTTTGCTAAATTGTTGATAAGTGCGATTAAAATCTGAGTTCAATATAAAATATTTTTAGTGAATTACCATTAAAAAAGTTTCATGTGCGAGAACATTTATTTATTTATTCTAGAAGAACGCAAAAGAGAGGTCTATGGAGAAGTTCACAAGGTAGATGACAGCAACCACCTGATAAAACCTGATAAAGCCAGGTACACCTGGCTGCGGTAAACCTGTTGTAATACTGGAACTTAAGGTCCTTTAGGGGTAAGCTACAAACTGATTCTCTAAACATTACCCTGAACATCTATGCTTCAAACACATCAAGATCTAAAGCCATAGTCAAAGTTTATTTGTTAAAAATATGTTTTAGTTTGCAACTAGCAAACATGTTTTTTCCTCCCAGAAAGAAAAAAAAAGACTCATGCTTCATTATTTCCTTTATACTTAGTCATATTCTGCTCAGTACGTATCCTCTGTAGTGAAAATGGGGTGTAAATTGGTTCTGAAAAAGTATTTTTCAGACACCTAAATTAGCGGATTAAGCTCCAAGAACGCTCTCAGAGACTGGAACGTCTTAGCAAGATTCAGTTCTCTAACTTAACAACCTCACATCCTTGAGTTTTCTGTATTCTTCTGCAGCATCAGTCAAGATGGATAAACAACATACTGAAGAACCACTGCGAACTTTCAAGTGGCTAAAATTTCTATACTCAGATTTAATAGCATGTTGCCCGAGTCAACACTTACCTCACAGAACATTAGTAGACAGAAGCAAAGAAAAGTGTCAGCATTTCTTACCTGCTTATTAATTCCATCTTAACTGATCACTTACTAGTTTCGTTTTGTAGAGCAGTTTCTTCTTTTTCAATTGTTATCAGTAAGTTTTCAGTGAGGTCTGCTCTTTTGCCCACAATTGCAAAGCCATTCCAAACATACATCATTTCCTGACAAAAAAATAAACAAGACAAACTCCTATAATTGCATAAATATTTAACTGACGATTATCCCTTGGAAGGCTGTTATGGAACATTCTGAGTACATTAAAATGCTGCCTACAAAAACTTGTTTTAAACAATAAGAAAGGTTTCAAAGCCAAAACACTCACTGTTGAGAAGTCCATGAATGAAATATCTGTACAACTTCAAACAACCACCCACAATGAGTACGGACATTCTGTCAGTTACATGCAAGTTTACAAAGACAATCACATTTGCCTTAATAACCATTTAATTAAAGTTGACTAAGAATATTTATGCACAGGAGAGGCAAAATGACATTGAATGTGCATGAGGAAAGTTACCCTAGGTTTCTAAGTTTTCAATGTTTTGACACTTTTTTAATGTGTTCTATCATGTATTTTCACAGATCTTTAAAACCAAAACTGAACAGATTTTATCACATGATAATTTACCATCACCCATGTAACACGTCAGCAAAATCAGCTATTTTAGGTTCAACTTGTGGCCTCTGCCATATGAACTAAAGAAACAGCTGAAAGTAGTTACTTTCTACAGGATTATAGATAAATTTGTGTGTGTGTTTGTGGGTGTGTGCATGTAAATACAGTATATATATATATATATGCATGCACTCAAACACACACATGCGTGTGTTTATATATAGATGCTATAATCTGTGGGCTGTTACCTTCCATATGGAGCAACACTGGAAGTACATGAAACTTTTCTGATAAAAATGTGGTTCCAGTACACACATCCAACACACACTTGCAATATAATTCCTACAAAACCTTATTTTTTAAAAAATCAAGGCAAATCCTGGCACAAAGCTTTCCAGATGCTTCAGTACAATAGTAAGCAACATGCCTGTTTCTATGCATTAAATATTATCACACTGTACCACACAAAGAGAATGAGAGAATACACATACAGAGTTACTGCTAATCAATACAAAACATTGCCCAGATCTTTATTCAATCATCGCAAACACAAGAGTATATTTTGCTCTACTGTATCTGAACTGTAATTAAACCTCCGAAATATGAAGCCCGATGTCATTCTGAAGCTGACACAATACATTTTTGAAATATTTCCATGTATATTTGTGCTGTAACTATGTGGGCTTCAGAGGGAGAAAAAAAGCTGGTTCTATGAAAGCCTGAAATAGTGTTACTGACACTATCAACTACATTATGCTAGATTTGTTTCAATTCTGTAGTCCTGTCTAATTTATGCTTACTGCAGTAACACCATACCCTATGTTTATTTTTGCTTAACCCAGGATGGAAAAATTCTTAAAATTAAAAGATACTGGATTTGACAGCAAGACCAAAGATACATACTCACAACTGAATAGCACTGTGCTGCACAAGCCCAGGACAACCTTATTACTTAGGTCTTTATAAATAATTGAGTATACAATAAATTTTAAAACAGATGGATTAATTTTCTTTGGACTCCTATTTCTCTATTAATAAGCTTTAACATAAGAAATTCCTTCTCAAATTATGTTTATCATCTTCAGTTGTTGTTACATTATCCATGTACAAAAGTTTTAGCACCACATACGCAAGGATCATTGCTGCGCACTACTAATGCCTCTGAAGTTAAAAGCATAAGAAATCAGAATAGTATTCATAAAGTACCATTAATTTCTGCACATTTTACTCAGACTCAATATAAGAAAAAAATCATAACAAAACAAAACACCCCACCACTTTACATTTTCCCCAGAAGAACAGAAAGTGCTGAAGTGCTTTTTAACTTAAGCAAGGAGGGCAGTCAGCAGAACCCTGGAGTTCTGGAGGGCGGACTTCGGTCTTTTTAGGAGCCTGGCTGACAGAGTCCCTTTGGAGGCAGTACTCAAGGGCAAAGGAGTCCAGGAAGGCTGGACATTTCTCAAGAAGGAAGTCTTAAAGGTGCAGGAGCAGGCTGTCCCTGTGCGCCAAAAAATGAGCCATCGAGGAAAAAGACTGGCCTGACTGAACAGAGAGCTGTGGTTGCAACTCAGTATAAAAAAGAGAATTTATGGCCTTTGAAAGAAAGGGCAGGCCACTCATGAGAACCACAAAGATGTAGTGAGACTATGTAGGGAGAAAATTAGAAGGGCCAAAGTCCAACTAGAACTTCACCTGGCTACTGCAGTTAAGGACAACAAAAAAAGTTTCTATAAATACATTAAAAATTAAAGGAGGACTAAGGATAATATCTGTCCTTTAGTAGACAGGGGCAGAAACATCGTGACCAAGGATGAGGAAGAGGCTGAGGTACATAATGTGTTCTTTGCCTCAGTCTTTAACAGTAAGACCAGTTGTTCCCTGAGTACCCAGCCCCTTGCGCTAGTAGACAGGAGTGGGGAGCAGAATGAAGCCCCCATAATCCATGGGGAAACGGTGAGTGACCTGCTCCAGCACCTAGACATATGCAAGTCTATGGGGCCAGATGGGATCCACCTGAGGGTACTGAGGGAGCTGGCAGAAGTGCTCACCAAG